GGGGTGCGGTGGGTCGAGGTTGGTGGAGGTGTGAGCGAAATTCTTATTATAATTAGGTACAAATTGAATAACTTCTATTGCACATAACGCCCTCTAGAGGCGCCATTCAAGCGAAATACTGCACAGTTATACTTTACTCGGCAAGACCTTTCCAACGATATATATTTTGTATCAATTCGCGATTATCACTTTGGCCACTTCCCTTGTCAGTGAGTGGTCGTGGTACTGAATGCACCCAATCTCTCTGGATCCTCTTCAAAATCCTTTCATCGAGCTTTCAACACCTTATTATTCCTGCACGAGCATATTATTGACGCCGTCGCGTATATTATCTTCATTGGTTCTCGCGTAGTCATTATATTTTTATATTAGCTTTTGCGTAGCCATTATATTCTTATATTAGCTTTTACGTAATCATCATACTCTCACATTAGATCTTGTGTAATCATAATAGCGTTAAATAATAAAGTGCATGTAAGCACGTGTCACAAATTTCTGAAGGATTACTTTGCGCTTGCTCCACCACTCCCATCATCCTCCGTCCCTTGTACCGAATACCAGGAGTGAGTAACGTGAAGATAACCAAGCCAAGCTGCTACGAGAGGAGGACGAGACTACGCCGGGACCACGAGGATCGCCGTTGGTATTATCGCTACTGCGAGTACTTAAATAGCCATAAATGCAAATTGTCCAAACAAAGAAAAAAAGGGAAAAGAGAATTTTTAATACAAATTTAGTGACACGACGTGACACTACAAGCTCGAAACGGGCCTTGTAATCGCAATGGTATCACACTGGTCATCTAGGGCCGTGGTCCGATTCATGCTGACAACGTTCATCGGCATCATTTGTCTTCGTTCAACATTTGACAAACAACAAGGATGGAATGATTTTTAGCGTTGTGAGCGTGAATTGGACCGCGGCCTAGAAAAGCATATCACGTCATGCGGGGAGCGCGCTTTCGACATAAAAAGCGACAATAAGAGATACTGGTAAACGAGATACTTGCGCGCGCTCGCGCCGGGAATTAAAAGCCGCGTATTATCCGCGTTTTGTTGGCTCCCAGGAGATGGCCGTGCTCTCCTCAACAACCGCCTGCGCCGCAATTACATCGCACACGACTTCCAGCAGTAACGTTAATAGCACCGGCGTACCAGGTGGAGCATCTACGGAGGGTCACGTTGGATCCTCGTTGGCCGACAAAATTCATGGAATTACGGAAAAATTGCAAGCTCTAGGTCATCATAGAACGGAAAGCGAAATCTCGAGAACGAAAACAGGTAAAGTATATCTTTCAATTATTTACTGACAGCCCGATATCGTAACGGTTAAATTATTAATTTATCCAATAATGTGAAATGTATAATATAACGTAAACTCTTTACATTCTTTAATGTGGAAATTTTTTCTATAATCCAGTAAGAATAAAATTCATATTTAATATCATCTTATTTATATAAATTATATTTTTTTACAATTATATAAATTGTAATGATACATAAAATTGCAACAATGCTCTGTTGAAGAACTAACCAACACAAAATGGTTACTGTATCAATACTATTTTAATGCAAATATTTTTCTTCTCAATTTGTACCGGTAGCGCTCGGGCCTTCCGTTTCTCAGGCTATATTTTTACGGTAAACGAATACTCTTGTGACAAAATAGGTCAGAAGCAGCCAAAAAGAAAATGACAATTCCGATGGTTGGAATTTTTTTACCCTGCATCACATATCGGTGTATATGCATTTGTTCGCTTTGAAATGGTGGACAAATAACAATCGATCCGACCAAAGAAGCTTTGAATGAAGACTTCTTTAAACCCGACGGTACCATTCGTTAAAATAAATTCGCTCTAAATATCGATTCTCGATTCTTTACCAAGTTGATCTATAGAGACATTGAATAAATATACATGGTGCACGTATTTATCTCGTGAATATATTTTTAATTCCTGAACATAACATGGTAGACGTATAGTATTTATCAGCAAAAAATAGAGAAAGATGTTTATTCATTTAATTCAGAAATGGAGTAATTCTTGTAATTTATTCTTAAACGCAAGAAATCAAAAACTCCATATTTAAATGCTCTCTAAAATTTTTGGAGTGGAATCTAATTCTAAAGAATGATAAAGAATGACAATTGAATCAATGTTGAAAAAGAGTTACTCAATTGACAATTTTTAATGAAATTTCACTCTTTAGAGTTAGATTCTACTCTAAAGATTTTAAATAGTACATTTCTCGGCACAAAGTATAGCCTTCGAGAACATTAAATGTTTAGATCGGATAATGAATATTTAACCAATGAATCTTTCAAGACGCTGCGCCGCGTCTTGCATACGAGTATAGAAGATCAACTTGCGAAGCTGATCAATCATGTTGTTTGTTTTTCTTGTATTTCACGCAATCACATGGACGATTCAGGAAGCGTGCATCCGATGTTAACGGTCACCCATACGTCGTACAGCTGTCACGACGTACTAGAGAAAAAGAGCACAGACAGCAGTCCAAGTCAAAGCCAAATGTCGCGTAATTCATCCAGGAAGTCGAACAATTCCCTTCTTGTCAACAACGGGAAATTGGAAGGTAGGGGCAATCGCTGAATCCAATACATATACGGTACATTGAGCGCAATACTGTTCGCAAACACGAAACCCTCTGTTCCACCATTTCACATTGAGATTATTGTAGAATGAATTTCCGCTCAGATTTTGTACGCTTTTTTTCCGCTATAGCTGAATTAATCTTTCTCTCATATTTTTTCATCTATCCTTCTTTGTTTATTAACCAAGAAATTCTTTTTCATTAAATAAACTAATCTCGATATACGCGCGAGCGATTCCTTTTAACGGGCTTCGGTTCACTATATTCTTTGGATATAATCCCCACCTGCGCTCTCCTCTCTTTCATTTTAGATACTTGAAGCTTACGTTCGTAGAAGCTCTCGATAAAGAATCGGTTCTTCGTGATCGAGAGCTTCTTCTCGAGGAACACCCTGCATTAAAGTTCCTCGAACAGCTGTGTATGGCTTTACGTGAATGCGGGATTAAAGGATGTTAGATCGTGCTGCTTAAAAGATTTCTCATCCAGCGCACGTAAACTCGCGTATCCGTGAAATTCAGTGCACAACGCAGAATTCATTTTTGTCAAAGAAATCGCGCCGTAGCGCAATGACAAAGAGTCCATTTTAGTCGCCATCGATCTTACAGTGGCGCG